ACCTTTAAGAATGTATTGCACATATTTTTTGAAAAAATTAGATTTTTCTAGATACTGTGTTTGAAAATAATACAAACGTTCGACAGCAATTTAAAACCTGGATCAAAAATTATTTCAATAAGAAATAGACATGCTCTTTTAAAATTATAATTAAGATAAAATAAGAAAATTTTCATTTAAATTAAAAAATTATATTGTTAAATATAATTGTTAGTATTTATGTTATTGAACTATTTGCATATGTATAACACCCATTTTTATCTGGAAGGTTCCAATTCCACTTTTTGCAGAGATTGTACACAATGATACATCTTTAATCTTGGTTTAACTTACTTTTGATTTTTTTTTATTTAAACAATAAGAAAAAAATAAAAAAAGTAAATTAGTCCGTCGTTAATTAATCAGTTGTTTGTTTTTTAAGTTTCAGTTAAGAAATTAATGTCTAACGATTTTTTAAAACTTGCAGAACCATTCATGTTAATTGGATAGTTTTTTTTCGTAAACGAGATATATACATATGTACTATATGTTATATATTATATCATTTATTATGACAGAAGAGAGATTATACATAATCGAAATGAAACTTTGAAATGCTAATGAGATTATGTTAGTAAATATTTTTCATGCTTTGCGCAAATTATGTACAATGTGTGCATTAATTAAAGTAATCTCGTCCATCATATCGTGCTCTAAAATAGACAATGCATTCCATCAGAATAAAACTTTACAAAGTGTTGTTCTATCACGCTTAATGTTATTTGCACGAGAAGCAGTGAACGGCTGCTCATGAAGATTGGCATCACGATTTTTGAATGTAGGCGTAAAGTAGCGCTATGTAATAACTATGCAATTACGCGTCCAGCTGCTGGATGTTGATAGAGCAACGCAACCGAGTCTATAAACTAATGCAGAGACTGAAAACGTATAAAGCGATGAAATTATGTCATCCCGTGGGCGGCCGTTACGTTATCTGGCGAAAAATAAAATCTTGACTAATGATGCTCATGCGGCGTTTTTTTTATCGATGTTTTTCAAATGGCGAAAGAAGAATCTTATAACCCAATCGATTATTTTTAGAACACAAACAGATTATTATCGTGAAATCAGTCTATGTATTCATTACAAAAAATAATAAAGTGATGTGAAAAGATACATTTGTATTTAATTTAGTGAATCGGATATATTAACGGTATACCATCTCGTTAATCTCATGGTATCTCGATTTGTAAGTCATCTGTACAGCTGTTTAGTCATTTCTCGGCAGTTACACAATACCGTCTTTATGAATAACGTCTTTGAGAGTATCCAATAAAGCCGACATGGAACCGTCTCTGCGTTCGATAAGTTTTACAACTCAAAATTAAAGTTCACGGGCAGAACGATTTTGTTGAAGTATTTAAAAGTTTAGTTACAGATACAGTTTTGAAAATAATTTTGTTGAACTAATAATTATGTACGACATTTAAGCTAGTTGCTAGAATGTCAAAATTTTTTTGTAGTATTGCATCATCATGCTTTTCTACGCAGAAAACGGAGTCCGGTTGCATCAATTGAAATTCTAATGGAAAACGAAACACAAATCAGAATTTTATTTTTTATTGTTAAATCTATTATAATTCTAATTGAGATAATCAATAATGATGACGAGAATTCTGATTGATCAGAATTTATTAATTCATTTATTTTCAACCAGAAATTTTTCTCAATTTACACATGGTATTTTGATGGTTCAACAAAATTATTTTCAGATCTATATTAGCTAAACTTTTAGATATTATAACTAAATCATTCTTTCCGTATAAAAGTTTGTAGCTATAGAAAAGTTTGTAGATCTAAACATGATTTTGTTGGACTAAAATTATATAGGACGTTCAACTGGTTAAAATGTCAAAATTTCTTGTAGCATTGTTCATCATGTTTAAGTTTCCTATATAATTATCTTGATAATTTAAAAAAATTGTTCTGAGATTTGTTGTAAGATTTGTTCATCTCTTTTTAGATACTTCAATAAAACTGTTCTTTAATTCCGTATGTGTGAGAGCATCGGTTCAGGAAGATAAATTCGTCTGAATTTGGCAGCGGGCTTATTCCAAGTTTGAGCACACAAATCTTTGATCAAGGATAATCATGTGTACGTTGCGTTTCCTTGCTAATTACACTTACAAACAACGTTCGGCAAGGAACTCAAGATGTTCAGTGTTTCGTAACGCTACAATACCGCTATACACGGTCTCTATTTCTTTCTCTTCTCAACGCTGTTCGCCGTATATAGATATGGTTTCTCGTGTTCATTTATTTTTGCGTGGTTACGTAAATCTGATTGGGAATCGAGACGTTTGAGAAGCCTTAATGAAAACTTTAAGCTGAGATCACGCTAAATACCTTCGTAAAGATTCTCGAATTCTTCTTTCGAAAGCGATATAATTGCATGCCATTACTACTCGAGTACTTGAGAAATATCACGCGCACTTTCTGCGTGATTTACAACATCTACATGCCGACCAATATTGACAGAGTCCAACGAAAGCATCGCTTTTCTCCTCGATGCATTAAGATTAATACTTTCGTTATTACTTAAGATACAGAGACAATTCTGATTACTGCGGCTCTTGGAAAAACACTAAAATCAAAATGAATACAGAAAGAATAATTTTGCTAAAATATCATAATGAAGTAACATATTTAAAAATTTAAAATATTATGAACATATTTAAAACTTATTTATTTAGATATAGATTTGAATATAATTTTATGTGAACTGTTAAAATAATTATATATACTGAAAAAAGTTTACTCTATCTTAATAAATATATTTTTCAATAATTTATAAATAAACTTTTACTTATAGCAAATAAATATTTGCTATAAGTAAAAGTTCTCTGCTATAAGTATAAGTTGCTCTAAACTAAATGAAAAAAAAAAAGATAGTTAAATTAATGGTTCTTATATCAAATAAATATATTAACATTCAGTAAAAGGTTTTACTTACAAATTTAAAAAAATATTTATTAAGATATAGTAAACTTTTTTCAGTGTGGGACGTTCAAACAGTTTAAAATTGTTTGCAGCATTGCCATCAACGCTTAAGCATTCTACATAATTATTTATATATGATAAAAAATTACGGTGAAAAAAACCTATAATGATTTCGACATATTAATAATTTCTCCATTTCGCATGGATAGATGTCTAGGTCTCGGAAATTAATTAAACGATCTTGAAGCTGATATTTGTCCTAATCTAACTTAAGTATAATGAAAATGCTATTAATCGGGAAAACGAAGGATTGATCATCGCGATTTATAGAAATGTATGTCTACCGTGATATATGTGAGAGGATATTTTCGCGCCCACGTGCGCATATATTGAACGCATCGAGCTCAGCGACAATTTCATCTGCCCCGATCGAATGCCGAGTTTCACCGGTTTTGCAAACTTGTCGTTTACCGTCATTCGTCTCGCTAGAGATTTCGATAAGAAAGTCGTCTCTCCTCGAGTTGTTCTTAATACCTACGAATCTGAGAAACGTGTTGACGCGATAATACATTGCGTTATGGATAATAGAGATAATCGCATGATATATCGATGCGGCGAAGGACGTTCGTAGGTTTATCCGCGAACATCGCATTGGGCGGTAATCTGTTTTCTCAGTCCAGAGACATCGATGTGTAATTCTTACATCAGCATTTTAGTATTGATAGAGCGATTAATAATTTTATCGTACAATGCGTAGTCGTGCACGCAAAATGATATTTTGCTACTCCAGCTAGAATTATCGCTGTTTTTTGTATCTGATAGAAAATTATGTACAGAAAATTATACTGTATTATATTATTATGTTTACGAAAAAGAATTTATAGCACAAATTTAAATTCTATCTCTGTCATATTAGATTAGCAATATATCGCAGTATTTGCTAGAAATTTATCTATTTTAGCTAATTTTTCGTATTTAGATAGAATTTTCACTATAACTGTAAAATCACTTTTTTGAGTGAACGCGTAATTGAAAGCATTACCATATCGTACGAAACACCCAGAGAAAGATTTCTTTGATTTAAACATTATTTTTTTAATTAAATAAAAAATTTATTTGATTTAAGGATGTTTAAATCGAAGAAATTTTTTCATAATAAAGAAACATTTCTTTGAATCGAAGAATCTTTCTCTGGGAGAAGAAAAGTTTCTTCTCGTTGCAAAAAGATATAAAAGCACCTAATTAATTATTGGTGCGTGAGTGTTGATTCTTGATTTGAAATTATGTGCTTCTTCGGAAGCGAGAAGTAACGCTAACCCCATTTAAAAAATACTACATACTTTGCAAAATTCAAAATAGGCTCTACTTCATCGCTTGGTCTTTGTGAGTTGATAGACAGTTCGTGCTCGATACTCGCTCTTCAGACTCCTTTGTTTCTTTAATCACTCGACTTCTTGAATTCCATTAATGCTCCCCCGTAGAATCGAAACACGCGATATAACAGCAAACGTAGACATAATTACCAGCAAGTACTTATTCGTATGCAGACGTTCTTCGTATCTCCGTGAAAAAATATGATTTTCAATTGAGAATTTTCTAACTTAATCCTAATCTAATGCCTACTTATCTTTTTGACTTTAATTCCGCTTTCGACTTTCAATTGCTCTTGTAAAGAGATATTTTTCAAGATATTCTCATCTTGAGTCTTGAATTATTTATAGCTGTAAAGATAACAGCGGACAAGACATTCTTAAAAGAGAACCCTTATTCGATAGGAAAGAAACTCCATCGTTTCGTTATGGTTTCTCAGAGAAATTGTAAAGGATCCTCTGCGCGCATAAGTGCACATTCATGTTCATCTATATCTCGAGTGTCTTATTCTTTCTCTATTTTCTAAAAAGAGATTCGTGTCACATCTTATCATCGCGCTCTCGCTTTCGATTAGCATTCTCGGTGTGCATCCAGTTTTTTGAATGCGATTTCGTTTTCTGCGATAATGATAGCCTTCTTTTGCTTTTCAGGCGGTACTTGATCGTAAGGTTTACGTCTCTACACGACATCGTTCTTGAATAGTCTGGGAGCTGTCGAAGAAAGTAAAGTGGGTCCTGGAAGAGGACCCAAGGAGAGCGAGGAGAGAAGCGTCGAGACAGAATCCGGTGTGCGGGAACGTCGGCAGGAGCTGCCTCAAAATGTCGTACGCCAATCGATTCCCATCCTCCCAGCACATCCGTTATCGCAGTAGCTGGGGACCTTCCTCGGTTTCTGTCTTCAATCACGCCGACGTACCGCGACCTTCGCCAGAGGAGGAAGAATTCGAGTTCTATCACGAGCGACTGCATTCGGCGCAGAGTCGTCAACTGATACCACTTCAGGAGGACTTGGCCGATTGGATCAACAAGACGATAAGTAAATACATTATTCACTGGAAATGAAGCGTATTTCTACGATGTGAGTATTGATCGGTAAGAAGAAAAAAAACTCGTCGGACGAGTTTAGGTTACCGCCAAGGTCGGCGAATGCCGTTTCATGAGAAATTTCGATAACGATTAGATATGACTCTTGCTAATTTATGGGAATAATCAATAGCTGAGGATCTATAGCTTACATGGAATTCGTAGACCGAAACCGAAATGACCCAGAACGTATTCTACGTCGAATTTCTCGATAGAACGCCTCCCACGAATTGCTTCCACCAAATTATAATAGGTTCGTGCTCATAATTTTGTTGTTTCGATGCCACGTCACGCGAGTATTGCCGCGACATTGCATCGCGTGTTATCTTCGAAATATCGTTTTTAAAGTAAAGTTTGTCAAGAGCTTACTGAAATTGTGATAAGCACGTTTCTATTTATTAACGTCGAGAGTTCCAGAATGCATCACTCTGAAATCGTGCGTTTAGAAAGACAAATACACTGTTAGATATTGAAGGAGTAATTCAATTCCTTGAGTTAAATAATATTTTGTTATTTTTAACTTCTATGTCAAAATATAAATATCGTCCATGTTAATGTATTTAGTAAATAATAAATTAAATTTGAGTCAAATATATTTTCTTGAATTAAACTGTTTGTTTAACTCCATTATTTTAGTCAAGATAATAAACTGTATATTGTAGGATAGGAGCAGTGACGATCTCTGTAGAAAAATCATTCAAATTAATACAAAAACAACTTAAATTAGTAACTAAACTAATATAATTTTACATATGAATTTAACAGTGTATAATATTTGTGCTAAATTATTATTAACCCTATTTTTTATATTTTTTTATTTTAAGAGTCTTTACTTGTTCATTAAAAATCTAATTTAATTTAATATTACTCCAATTTTAGCTAAGATTGCATTGAAAAAGAATCTGATAATAGTTATCCGCGATTTAGACCCGCGGTTTTAGTGTTAAATATAAATCTATTTCGCGAATTTATTTAATTCCCCAAAGTTTTGTAAAATATTAAATTAGATACGATATACATAATTACGTAAAAAATATTATAGTTTCTCATAACTCTTCCCGTCTGGCACTCTTAAATGTAAGGCGTAAAAAGAAATCGGTGTGGCGTAACATCGTGTAACGACTCGACATTCGTGTCATGTTTGACCACATTTTTTTGCACTCTATCTGGCTTCGCCCGATGTGAAATCACCTTAAAAAGAGTCGGCGGCTTGCCATGCCACGGGATGTGGCGTGCGCATGCAAGTTTTATGCAGCTTTGATGTGTAAGAGCCAACACAAAAGTTAGCATCTGGCGCTACACGTGAGAAAGGATATTCATAATATTTCGCCTTACACTTCGTCATGTGTCGAGCTGCCATGTAAAAACGTGCGCACCATATGTACAAAATTTTACGAAGTTTGCTTGAACGCAAAAACGTTCAAGGATGGCACCGTAATATGTCTGTAAATTGTTTCATAAAAAAATTTCACTACTTTACAAGCCTATTTAACAAGTCGTACAGAAGGAATAATTGTAAAAACGAATTACGTGTCACGAGATAGTTAGAACGACCTAAAAAATAACTATAGGATCAATAAGCAATTGTTCTGTTCACTGTTGTACGCGGAATATGGAAACGAAATATATTGCATGAAGATTATTATTATCGTATCTAAAGATACTAAATTTGGGAAGTTCGAAGTAGGTGAAAGTTTCCGCAATTTATTAGATTACATGAAGACTGCACATTCCTGAAACGAGTACACGAGGTCATAAAACTTTTCTTTTGAATCTATCTAATCAATCGACCTTTCAATTTTATTGATTTAATCCTTCAATATCATTTTCGATCTGGTATATGAGCCTTTTTTCTTATAAAATAGTTTCTTTCGAAACTTTTTATTAATAAAGATACATACATTCGCTCGATAGCGTTATATTCCTTAAAATTTGGCATTTCGATTGAAAAAAATGTTGTCACAATGTGTTCATTTTTATGAAAGTCATAAGCAATTAAAGTTGAGTTGGATATACTGTACACGGTGTGTTACACTCGTAACAAAGTATTATAGTGTGGCATTTTTGAAAGGTTAAGATAAGATTGATTAATCGTTTGATTTTATCAATTGTGCAACAGAAGTTAATTGTTTCTGGTAACTGCAACCGAAATTAATTGTTACTTCGTGACATAATAATGTATAATGTATTGCATTAATTATTTTGGATAAACCTAATCGAGTAAACACACACACACACACACACACACACACACAAATTTTCTAAAAATATTTTCTAAAAAAACATTATTTAAGATTATGGAAGAGTGTTTTAAAAATTCCTGCTTAGTCTTTAAAACAAGAAGAAAGAAAGGTGAAATGTGACGAAAAGAGCAGTGATCCGTGATTCTTTTCTTACAAGGAACTGGAAATCTACCGATGGCTATCTAATTCTAGGCACGTGTGTGTGACCGCCTTTCTGAACTGCTAGTTTCCTAATACGGTACGAATACGAATTGATGCGTAAAATAGAATTGCCACGGTGTACCGAGCCTCGCGGAAAGTAGCAATTCTGACGCTGCACTGCATTTCACGTAACAAACAGACGCGGACTTTTCACTACGCTACCGATCTCCATTCTGACCTTGCACTTTTAGCAATTGATCTTGAGAATCACCAATTGCAATTGCAATTTTGTGTCGAGATTGTCTCTGAGATTGCCGCTCTAAAGATAATTTATTAATTCCCGTTAGATCGTAATTGGATCGCGTGCTGAATGAGAGATTAATGATGAAAACATTGCTACAACATCGCTAATAGTACCTTCCCACATAATTCGATTCACTTGCGATTGTCGCTTTGCCGTACTTTCACCTCTGATTGTATGTTACTACGTGGACACGATTAAGTGCACACATATCGATGACCAAGGAAAGTGCGTCCATAAAATACAGTTGGATGCAGTTTGGTGGACGGAATGTGCGAAAACGAGTGTGGTCTTGCGCGACCTCGAAGAATCCAGCTTTGCGATGTGGACCACCCTGAGAGATTGCGACACGAATATACGCCGAGAAAAACGAACGATACGTGAATGAACATCGAGCTCATACATATATTTAGTCACAAAAGGCGATGCACATGAGATATAATTTACGTGACTCGCCTAAATCACGTCGCTTAAAATATATCTTTGATAAACCCCTAAATACTCGGTGATAGTAAATTAATGCCGAATGACATTACAGTGTAACGTTTACGATACAATTTCGACTTAAAAACATTCGCGAAATTTTAAATTTATTAAACGCAAGATTTCAAGATAAGGAATTCCTGAATGATCGATAATGAAAATGTTTTTTTTTTTATTCATTCGCTCGTATTCTCAAACGTGAATGTTACTAGTGCTTCAAGCGCAGAAGACACATGTTTTATTCCCGAAGGGAGAAGCCACTCCTTCGCACATCTCGTATGCATGTATGCGCTGTAATTTTGCAAATTGTTTTCCTTTTCTTTGGTGTGTAATTTTGAAATCAACCTGAACTTTCTCTTTACTAGAGCATGAATTTATGAATCTACATGGACAAACAGCGACATTATCGATTATTTGCACTTTAGATGCGAATTAAATAAATGAAATTCAGCGAAAGGCTTTAAATCTTTTTGCTGTTTTAAATATCATTTATGAAGAAAATTTAATTTTTAACAGCCCTTTGGCTGTTAAATAATATATCGTTGATACATCGTATCAACAAGATACTCTAAGCGTGATTTTGAAAGGGACATACTTTCGACGAGGTGTAAATAAATAAAGAAAGGTATTTAATAAGTTTTCAAAGACAGCGAGAAAGGTTGAAATTCACTCGACCATTCCTAGCGTCATAAATATGTTTATCCGAGTTTGAGGAATAGATTTGCTCGCACAACTTTTTCGCCAAATACTGTCTAACGAAGATTAGGATTCTGAAATAGAAATGTAAGAATCTTTTGAAGAAAATTCGTTAAAACGCTAACTAATATTTTTCGAAATCAGTTCCTCTCGCAGTGTTTTAAAATAATTATTAGCATTGTTAAATTAACGATCAATTTAAGTTGTGATACTTTTATTATTCAATTTCTATTTATGATCATATTTAAATCTGATAGTATTTGGCGCAGAGTTTAATTGGAAAATATATATTAAAAAATTTGTAAATATTATTGAATACCACAAGATATCTCGACCGTATTAATGCTTTTTATTTAAAAGAAAATTTGTTAACTACTTGTTCTAATAATAAAATTAGAAATGTTAAAATATTAATTTGATTCTTTATATTACATCTATAATATTTTACATAGATCCTTACCTAAAGATTTTATGAATAGAATTACAATAAGAAAGCAATAATACAGTCTCATTATAACTATTTAGATGGATACATAAGTTTCTCCTAAGAGGCTTACACAAAATGAAGATAGAGAGGAATGATATTCTCATTGATATTCAATGGTTGCCAAAGCATCATTGGCGACGTGAAAAAAATAACGCGACGGTCTTTCGTTACCCACGCGCGCCCTGCGCCTCTTACAGTTGCAAAGCCTCTGTGACTCAACCGGAAGTCGACTGGGCACCCCTCTTCCTTCATGCTACTTCTTCTCTTCTCCCTTCATCACATGAGCACCCAAAGCCGCATTACGCATAATGGGCGTACGCTTTCCTAATACGCTTGCGCATCCGCGGGATACTATCGACTTGTGAGACGATACGGCGATCTAAGCGACGAAGACACTATCGCCTTGACACTTGACACGCGCCACTGATGATCCGATCGGCCATAAATCAGAAAGCGAAACCTTTGACTCGCCGCGCTAATTTATCGTCGCCGATTATTCTGCCGATATAGGCACCGCAGAGGTGACCGTTCACGGACTCGCAGACTCGAATGGATTTATCGTGGGATCCTGGTCGCGAGCTACAATATGCGCCGTTTAATAG